CTGAGGCGAAGTGCCTGCGTGCGTGGGAAACCAGGTGTAACCTGAGGAGGCGGGCGCGGCCGGCTGAAAGGAGTTCAGTTTTCCTGCGGAACTTGCTGAGCAGCTTGAGAGAGAAGGAGGAAGAAAGGGTGAAGTGAAGACACAGAGAACGGACTGTCGCCCGCACCTACTTGCCGTCTACCTGCTTTCTGACCCCGCGAACGATGGGATTTCCGCCTATGGCTGTTTTCCTTCTGGGAGCGCTTTTGGCGCTCGCCGCTACGGCGTGGAGCCAAGGTTTGTCTTCCCTCGTCGGGTTTTCCCGACTTTTCTCTTTCAGCTCCCCTGCTTTTCGTGCGTGCGCCTTGGGGAAGAGGAACCCCGCACAAAATGGCACCTGGTCGAGATCCCCGGCCTTCACGTGGAGGAAGGGGCAGGTTGCTTTCATGTCGGTGGATAGGAACAAAGGTGGCCGGGCTTTCTTGGTCGCGACTTCTGGGGCAATCTGGAGCCAGTTAGAAGCAGGCTGTCCCTGGAGGCTCCCGGAGAGTTGGAGGCGGACACGCAGAGCCAACGCCCTGTAGAGCCATGGCGCTCGGGCAGCTCCCGCCGCCCCTGGAGGGCAAATCCATTTGGAGTTCCCGGACTCTCCTTCGGCACGAAACTTTCCTTATCGCTTTTGTCCGAGGAATGGAAACTTTCTGTCCTAAATCATTTAAAAATTAGATTCGCTTTAGAATCATCTTAAGAAATTAACTTAGTACATTTTAGCCATAACCTTCCTTTATGGTTTTACTCGCAAAAAAAGATGGGCAGAACTCTTTAACATGCTTGATTTTAATTTTAATTTTTTTAACCTGGATTTAGTTTAACGTGAAAAGACAAACTGTCCCATGTACCAATAATAGTAGATGTAGATCAGTGGCAACTCCATTTTAACTCCCAACTAAAATGGAAGGTTTTGTATAGTTTTCTGATTTGTAAAGCCTTGAATATAGTAGCTTTGCATTATCTGAGCTCTTTTAAGGTTTTCCTAGGGTGTTTCCCTACTTTTGTGTTGAAATTCTAGCCGTTCATCTTAGGTTGGTACAAAGCCTATACTGGTGTAAAGTTTACTGTCCTCGTTTTTAATTGTTTGTGTCTCTGTTTTAAGCTGCTGGAGTTATCTGACTTTTCTCCAAGGTAATAGATGACAAGTCTATAAGCTTTTATACAACTTGAGTCTGCTCTTTTCAAAATAAAGGGTGAAATACTGTTTTAATACCAGTGCAGCTTACAATGCTTTTCCATTATTGGTTTGGGGAGAATATGAAGGCAGAGTCCAAGGCAGAATAAGGATTTTTTCAGCAGGGCATGCTTGTGCCATGCTTGCATGAGAGTGGAAAAATATCTTTAAGTATATAAATGACTGAAAAGTAGATGGTTCCTGCCTAACCTTGTCAGAATTTGAAACCAAAGTGGGATTGTTTGGTTAATGCTTAGAAAACCAGAGAATATTAGGGTTACAGGCTCGGTTGTGAAATAACAATATCTCCCAGAAGAAAGCACTTTTGCATATTTGAGAAAGCGTAGTTGTGATTACATAGTTATAAATAGTCAAGTACAACATGGAGTCTTTATCTTTTTTTATGATTGGAAACTAACCTGTAGAAACCACCATTGTTTCCTCCCCACCCACCCCTATCTTGGGAATTTCCTCCCCCTCATTTTCATTTGATCATACACAAGTTCTTACCAAATTGTAATAGGATAGTTTTGGTTTCATATATGTCCAAAATGAATGTACTTTTCTAGAGCTGATTGTCAGGAAATTAAACTCTGGTTGTAAAAGGAAGTAAAGACTGTTAATCCCTGTTAAAATGCGCTTTGCTGTTGCTTCCCAGGTAATTTTTTTCACTGAAGTGGGTGGAGATACTTGGGAGGTTTTTTTTTTTAGTACTATAATGGGAAAAAGGTATGGTACATTTGAGAAGGCGGTTCACCTATACTGTAATACTAGTTTATTTTTGCAGAACTAGGGCTCTGAACTTACAGTCTGAAAGTGTGTAGACATAACAGTTACTCTTCAGAAGAGGTCTACAGAATAAATGTTAAAAGTAGCAGTTTTGGCAATCCCTGAGACCTATGATTTAAATTGGAATTATATTTTTAACTGAAATAATATCAAAAATAATATTTTTGGGATTTTTTCCCTGTGAGTTTATTACTGAAATTTGTCTATAATGATGAACATGTTACATAAAAATATTATCTAGAATATCAATAAGCAGATACATGCTTTGTTTTAAATCCAACTCAAGAATCTTTATGGAATTGCAATATAGAGAAAATTTCAGATATGGTATTAGTTATTACAGAGTCAGAATTCCAGATTGTAATTAATTTGAATTTTCTGTTAGCAAAGGAATCTTTCCCTGAAGTAGGTTGATTTCACAGGTATCTACTACAAAAAAATAGAAATAGTTACCTATTTGGTACACAATACAAAAGACTATTTTGTAATAATTTGGTTTGAATTTTACAGAAGGATGCTCATGTGACATGAACAAACGGACAAATTGTTCTATAGTTGCTGATGGTGCATGCCAGTGTAAATCAATTGGACTTGATATCACAGTGAACTGTCAGACACGTAAGTATAAGAACTGAACAAATTCCATTACACTTTCCATTGCTTTCTGACAAAAATATTGTATTTAAGTTAACATGATCCAGTTACTCTTTACTGGTTTTATTATTTTTTAGTGACTTCAAAATGCCTATTGATGAAAGCAGAAGTGACTGGCTTAAAATCAGGTAGAAGTCAAAGACCAGAACATGCACATGCAGACAATGATGGCATATATGATCCAGAATGTGATGCAAAGGGCAATTTCAAAGCGAAACAGTGCAATGGAACAAAGACTTGCTGGTGTGTGAACAGTGCTGGAGTACGAAGAACTGAAAAGAGTGATAAAAATATTACATGCGAAGAAGTAGTAAGGACAAGGTAAACCTGATTTAAAATTGAATTTATTTTAAGATCTATATGTTGTACTTTAAGGTTAAAACATCAATATCATAACATTTTAAAAGTTTATACTGACAAGTTTATCATTAACAAATTAAGATTAAAAATTAGAAATGCACAAGTTGAGTGTCCTATTTCTTAACCTTGTAATTAATGTTCAGAGTAATTGAGCAAAATGTTTTATGTTTTATTTTTAGCTGGATTATTATTGAAGCAAAGTATGACACTAATAAAGATGAAGCTTCTCTTGAAAGGTATGTCTTGGTAATTATCATGGTCTACTTAAGTGTAGCAATTTAGTAGATGAAATGATTTTCACAATGTAGTTGAAAAGAAAATGTTTGGCACAATGTGCTGTGCATGATTCCTAAATACAAGATTGTGATATCCTACACCAAAACAAGAGATCATTAAAAGTATATGAATATACATAAAAAATATAAAATTAGTTGTCTTTCATTATTCAAACCTTTTGTGTCTAATAAACCATAGAGTAAGCTGGATTATGTATACCTTTTTCCTGGCTCACTTACCTAACCTTGCAAAGAAATAGACAAAACATGAGCAAATTGACTTCTTATGCTAATTTTATTAATATTCTATTTTACTAAGCCATAGCTCATGTATTGAAGTATAAAATAAACAGCAAGTTGTTCAAAACTAATATCCAGCTAGTTTTCATAAGGGGAAAGTGATGGAGTGATTGATGTAGGTTTCGGTACTAAAATTGTGTCATAAAGATATTTCAGAGTTTCTAATTTCTTTCCTTAATTCCCAGTACTATTGGAAAAAACTTCAAGGAACTTTACTTTTTGGATGAAAAACACATAAAGGTTAAAGTACGTATAACAGTTATTGGATATTTTCATGGGAAGTTTACTGTGGGTTATATTTCATGGGGGCATATAAATTTTACTTTTGAAGGTTTAGAATCTACCCTGATTAAAGGGTAGATTCTAAACCTGTCCATTTTAAATATGTAATTGTACTATATCAAGACCTTATCTAAAATATTTTGTTAATTTAATTCAAATTTTGAACTATTTATCAAATAGGGATTTAAAAAGCCTGGTTAACTACTGAAAAATAAAACAGAAAAATTATGTTTAAACTTGATACGTGATTTTTTAATGTGATGGTAGTATCTTTTTTTCTTTCAGTATGAGAAACCTTTCATTAGTGTCCATCTCAAACAAAATGCTTCAGAAAAAAGAAATACTGATGTGGATATAGCTGATGTAGCATATTATTTTGAGAAAGATGTAAGTATGTGGAGCTTTTAAAGGAAAGTAAAGTGGAATTGTTGGCATGAATTTTTGCTATATTTCAATAGTTTGTATTTTTTAAAAAAATATATGAATAATTCATGTTCTTGGTCTTTCAGGTCAAAGGAGATTCGGTTGTCAATTCAAATATTGAAAGAAATCCCCTTCGATTTGAGAACACAATTATATATTATGTTGATGAAAAAAGACCAGAGTTTACAATGAAACGTTTGACTCCTGGAATTATTGCTGTAATTGTGGTTGTAGTCCTGGCAATAGTGGCTGGTATTCTTGTACTGGTATGTTTTTCTTATTTAGAAGATCTTAATTCTGATGTTCAAATAAAAAGTATCCTAGAGTAGATAAACATAGAACCTACTATTTTAGACAACTCTTGAACTTTCCATTTCTCCCCTGCGCCATTATAATTCAGCCAGTCCATGATAAACCATAAATACTATATTGTTAAAATTTATCAACAAGTTTATCAACAAAAGAAATAGAATAGCTCCTTAAGACTCTGTAAAACTGAATATCAAACCCCCCAGGTGTATCATTGACTTTTCACCTCTATATATATTAGTCGAAGAAACTATTGGTAGGTATGTTGATTATTAGACATCATTCATTATATGTAATATTAATACAGGTAATCTTCAACTTACAACCACAATTGAACCCAAAATTTCTGTTGCTAAATGAAACAGTTAAGTGAATTTCCCCCCATTTTATATTTTTTGCCACAATTAAGTGAATCATTACANCTGAACAAAAAAATACTGGAAACTGGGATCTCTGTCAGATCTGCTTGGATTGTCCTAGTTGTATTGTATGAACACATATTTTATTGCGAATGAAGGCAAACATAGGTGTCCCAAGAATAATGCTGCAGGATCCGATATGAGTTGGTCACCAAGACCAAAGGTTTGTTTCAAACTTTGAGGCTCATGCTGAAACCCATCATCAGGGAACTTCTTTCTCTCCAGAAGAGAGACCATATTCTGCAGAAAAAGAAGTTCCTTGATGATGAGTTTCATAGCACAAAGCTTGGAAGAACAAACTTTGGTCCCAGTGACGGACTCAAGATTATATCCTGCAACATATTTTATTCTAAATGAGAAAGCTTATATCTTTAAAAAACAAATTTTGCAGATACGAAACCTATAAATAAACTTACTTAATGCAGTTTCACTACCACTTAAACATACTTATGTTGTCATAATAAAAGTTGTATAAAAGTATTTTTTAAAATGCATTCTTAAAGTATATAGTAATTTTGAAAGACTTTCTTTGGCAACTATCAAAATTTCTGGCATACTGTCAAAACCTTTAAAAAGACATTCATGTTTAAACATTTATAATTTTTCTGTATCTAGGAAACAGTATGAATAAGATAAAAATAGAAAGAAAAAGAAAGAAAAAAGATGAAAAGCAGAAATTACTTGCTAATTTATATTTGCTTTCAATTCCAATTTTTCCACGTTTTGTTAAACGAGAATGTACAATGTTGAAGTAAGGTAAATTTTCTGCTACCACATATTACAATCTTTTGGGTGGAGAAACATAACTATTAGTGATTCCACAGCTATGGGAAACTATTAGATTAGTCTGAATAAACAAGTGTATTCTTAGATATGTTCATGGAACTGGGTCACTGTGCTTTTTGAGAATGTGTATGATTTTTGTGTGGATGCATATAATTGGAAAAAAATATTCCCTGGAAAAAGATTAGTTTATTCCTCATTCCAGGATTGTTTTGGTGATACTAAGGCCATTTATTTGTAAAAATTTCACAAAAAGCATTTTATTTTTATTATTGAGGTGATTAGAATTGAATTTAAGAAGGAAAAACTTTAATGGTTGTACAAATGAAAAAATGAGGTTTTAAGAATCTGCCCTCATCTAGTAGAATACCAAGCATCACTGAAAATTTTCCTGATTCAAGGTAGAATGAGAACAGTAACAGAGATCAACCTAGTACCAATTATTTAAAATATATATACTATGTTTAACTCTTGTAACCTCACTTGCTGTTTCATGTACATTTTCTCCTCAGTCAACTTTAAAAAAATGGCCTTTTTAGTTTGTAAATTGGATGATGACTAGAGATAGTCCTCAACTTACTCCCACGATTGAGCCCAAATTTTCTGTTGCTAAGTGAGACATTTGTTAAGTGAGTTTTACCCCATTTTATGTCCTTGTTTGCCACAGTTGTTAAATGAATCATTGCAGTTGTTAAGTTAATAACATGGTTGTTAAGTGAATCTGGCTTTCTCACTGACTTTCTGGTCAGAAGGTTACAAAAGGTGATCTTATGATCCCAGGACACTGCAGCCGTCATAAATGTAAGTCAGTTGCCAAGAATTTGAATTTTGATCATGTGACCATGGGGATCACACTTTTGACTGCAATAGTGAAAAGTGTGAAAAACAATCATAAATAACTTTTTTCAATGCCGTTGTAACTTAGACAGACTAAATGAACTGTTAAGTTGACAACTACCTGTGCTGTATTTTCATTTTTTTCTGATGCAAGCTATCTAAGAATTTTTTTTTGTTAGGAAAGTGAAATAGAAAGACAGTAAATAAACAAATTATTGGAATGCTAAATGAACAATTATTGGAATGCTATGGGAATTTGGAAGTTGGGAAAATTCTAATAGATATTTATTCTGACTTTCCAGATCATAAACCTGTGCAATGCACAGCAGGCATGTAAAGATAGTTCTGATTTCACTGAATGTTTGAATTATATGTTTATTAAGAAATGTGTCATCTTAACAAAAGAACATGTTAAGTAATAAATCTGATTTATATTTATCTCTGAATACAAACGTCTGAAATCATTCTGTCACAACCATAAATATTAATGGAGTCACAGCAATTTGACAAGGTGAGAACATTTCTCACGTTTGTCCTCATAAATCTAGTACAGGGCTGCTCAAACCTTTTAAACAGGGGGACAATTCATGGTCCCTCAGAGTGTTGGGGGGCCAGACTGGCTGGATGGATGTAGCTAGGTGGTCATGTGACTGGGTGGGTGTGATCAATTAAACAGTCTATTGAACAATGCACACAAATTAAACTTTTACTTTGTTTTGCTCCTGGGAGTGTTTTATTTGCTTTTGTTTGCATTTTGCTCTTTTGGTTGCCTTTTCTTTTTACTAGATCATTTTTTCAGTTGTTTATAAGTCTTGTGGTCCATTTCAGATTACTCAGTTTTGCAGCAATTCTTCTCAGCCCCAAGGAGCTTGAGAACGCTCTCTCTTTCTTTCTTTCTCTCTCTCCCTCTG